GGAAGGAAGAAATGCTTCCCAACCCAACAGGCCTAGAATTAGGGGACAGGGGAACTGAAAAGAAAGCAATGTGCACAGGGATAAGAGCAGCCCTAACAGTGGCTTACTGTCTCCAGACCCAGCTTCCTTGAATGCAGGCCCTTAAGGCTGTGTCGTGGATACTCCCCAGAGTCTCAGTCCAAGTACAATGTGATATCACCAGCCATCCTCCACCTTTGGCTTAGTGGGACCTTAGCCCACTGTTCCGCAGGCTATGCCCACATGAAACCAGATGGAGGCCTTGGTGTGAGCTGGGGCAGGGCCTGCTGACAGCAAGCTACCCTTGGGGCCAGCTTACAGGCTTTCAGGCCACTGAACTCATAGGGCAAGACTGCCCAAACCATACTGCTTAAAACCACCCATTCATTCTTATTTTCCAAAGAGCCACAGATTAACATTTGATTCTTTCTTGTTTTTTTTAAAGAGACAGAATCTCACTTTGTGGCCCTCAGTAGTGCTATGGTGTCATAGCTCACAGCAACCTCCAACTCCTGGGCTTAAGCAATTCTCTTGACTCAGCCTCCCAAGTAGCTGGGACCACAGGAGCCTGCCACAATGCCCAGCTATTTATTTTTGTTGCAGTTTGGCCGAGGCCAGGTTTGAACCCGCCACCCTTAGTATATGGGGCCAGTGCCCTAACTCACTTATCCACAGGCGCCACCCACGGTTTTATTCTTTTTTTGAGACAGAATCTCACTGTTATCCCAGAGAGAGTAAGGTGGCATCATCATAGTTCACTGCAACCTCAAACTCCTAGGAGCAATCCTGCTGTCTGAGCCTCCCAAAGAGTTGGGACTACAAGCATACATAACACTCAGCTAATTTTTCTATTTATGGGATCTCACTCTTGCTCAGGATAAACTCCTGAGCTCAAGAGATCCTTTCACCTCTGCCTCCCCAAGTGCTAAGATTACAGGCATGAGCCACTGGGCCCAGAGTGTTCTATTCTTATGTCAGGAAGATACAAAGTCTCAATTAGAAAAGAGACAGGTGGTCTGACAGTCCAGGCCATCCTCAGGTCCCTACAGCAGGCAATAGCTTCAGTCACAGGTTGGCCTATCACATGCTGTGCCCCAAGCCCTATCACCAGCAAGTATAAAGAAATCTAAAGGTCTCATCTCAAAAAGTGGACTGGAAACTCCGGGGCTTAAACACTCTGAGCATGTACTTTCCTTCATTACCCAAATAATTATGAAAATAAACTATAAATCCAATCAGTATTTGCTGATCAAGTTTGAATGATTTTTTCTTTAAAAGGCATGCCCTTATAACCAGCTTCAAGAAGAAAACATGTCCACAAGCATGGTCTACATTCCACTTTGGCACAGTAGCCAATCTGCCCATAAGAAAAGATGACATGCAAATGCAAGACCTGGTCAGGTACAAGGAAGGGCCTGAGGCTCAAACAGGTAAAGCAGGGAAGATGTGAAGAGAGGAGAGAAAGTAAGTGGTATAGAAGACCTGGAAAGATGGGGACACACTCAGTCAGAAGGTCACGGTTGTGAGCCTGGGGGGCTGGAAGGCTACACAGTGGCCAAGTGAGGCCACCTGGTGGACAGATGTACAGGTCCAGTAATAGAGACAGGAGGCATGAGAATCCTTCACACATAGCATCATACCTGTGATGTTGGGAGGGGCCCCAGAGACAAAACAGAACAAGATGAAGGCAGGAGACTAACAAGACCTATGTTTAAAAGTGAGGAAGCAGCAGCAGGAAGAAGCAAGTGTCACACTGGTCACAGGCTGGGGGCTGGGATACTGCCCAGGTTCCAAAAGTCTGGGAAGCAAGCAAGAGCCTTGGGGTCAACCCACAGGTGTGACAAGGGAAGAGGAACCTGTGGGCTCGTGTTAAGCAGTTTCAGGAAGGTGGGAGAAATGGGGACTGCAAGCTAGAGTTAAATAAAGGAGACATCTCTTGAGAGGTGAAGGGCTCAAAGGATGGAGAAAAGAGCAAACAAGAGGGTGCTACGGTGCAGGGAAGCCACAGTTAGAGGAACCAGAGCCTATCAGAGGCAGGAGTCTGAGAGATGAGGAAAGGGATCATGGGGTGAGGGGAACACGAGGGCAATTAGGAAAAGGTATTTGAGACACATGGGAGGCATGTGCTGGAGGGCACCAGATGTAAAGCCAGAGCACAGGTGTCCACAGGGTTAGGGAAACAGATGCAAAACCAAGGGGGAAAGCAAAAGGGAATCCTTGCCTTCTCCCAAAAGAGGTCAAAGAAGGTCTCTTCCTGACAGATAAGGCCAGGCACACAGAAGCCAGGGAAGCCAGGAGACAAGAGGAGCAGAGAAACATACTGTTTCCCTGTCAATCACCACAGATCGGGACAGCTTGGGACCCCCGTAACTTTACAAAACCAGTGCAAAGATGGGATTCTACTCAGGAACCTAAGACTATGCTCCCTACCTTATGACCCTAGAGCGACAGCCCTCTTCTCTGTGCCTCTGCTGGTTGCCTAGACTAGGAGCCTACTTAGGAGCACAGAGATACCTAGGAGCAGAGAGATATGCCCAACAGCACATGTATCACCTTAAAGAATAATCTGATAAGAAGTGGAAGTGTTCAATACTCACAGGAACAATAAGCCCTTGCCAAGTCAATAAATTAGCTTCATCAACCTGGATGTTACGGAAGTTTTTCATTCCACATTTGCGGATTTCTTCAAGCTCCTGTTGATTAACAAAGCATAAAGGGGTGTCAAATAGGGAAAAGCACCACGTATTAAGATCCCTCCTGAATCCCTCAAATTAAACCAAGTGACGACATGAGCGATGATACAATTCGGGAGTGAGGGCTAGACTGTGTCTGGCGTGGTTAAGGAGGCATGGTCCCCTCCACGAGGTAGCTCTACCCATGCCCCACACTAAGGCCCCCACCTCAGCGCGCCCCCTGGACACAAGAGAGGGACGTGCTTGTACAGACATGCCAGCTCTTCTCTGGGCTGCTTGAGGGCCTGTTTAAACACCTTCAGCAACCTGCGCAAGTAGAAACACGGCAGAGGCTACACTGGGACCCTACAGACCTGACTTCCTCCAAGACTAAGTGGTGATATCAGATACTGAGAATACAAAGAAGAGAGCTCCTGGGACTAGGAGCAAACCAGAGGCAGATGCACGCCCACCAAACGCCCACCAAGTTCCCTACACAGCACTCCAAGCATGATTTCAGAAGGATTCCACCTCAGTGTGGGCATGCAGCACAAACTATCCCATCTGGGATGGGGAAGGGGGCAGGAAACCATTATGGAGCCTCAGTTTTCTCAGCTGTAAAACAGAAGTAATGAAACCCAGAGCTGCAGAAAATGAAGGAGAAGCCATGCTGCAAGAAAAAGGACCCCTCACAAACATGAGGGTTGCTTATTATATAATTAATGCACCAAATACCACTTATCCAGAAGGAACAACTTCACAAAAATCAAGACCCTGCGATGTCTTTACAACTGTCTGTCACTTGTTGTTCAACTGTGCACAAGCCAGACATCTCCTGCTACCTCCCAACACTTCAAGTGATGGTCCAACAGGTGTTCTAACCCATGCTGCCCACTATGCACCCTCCTGCCAGCACAGCAGCCTCACCAACAATCCTCCACTCTCAGCCCCTAGAGTGCCACTATACCACCTCAGCCCAGCATCAGCCTCCTTCACATCTCTTAGGTGCCTTCTCCCCTGCAACCCAGGCAGGACCCAACTGAGCCCTGCCTCCTCTGCCAAAGCTCTCTCTGGCACAGCACACATCCCCCTAGAACTGGGAAGGCCCATCCTTGTGTGGTATCACCACTCACAATGGCACAGATGCTTGTATTACCCCCATATCAAGCCTCAAAGAGCCTCTGCACCCCACACTCACCACACAGCAGCAGTTTATATGGCACACTGGGACCACGCAGGCAGAGGGGGACTGAGCCAGTATCACGAAGTTGGAGGATGCTTGGGCACCAGGCCCAGAGCAGCCAGAGACGGAGAATGCATTAAGTGAACAAACATGGAAGAGGCAGTTGGGACACAATGATGCCTCCCAGCAGGCAACAGTCACAAGTGTCTTCCCACAGGATGCCTGTCAGCACTGTCTGCCCACCACAACCACCTGGACCTGGGCCCAGCCCCAGGAATTCTGACCCAGCAAATGTGGGTAGAGCCTGAACATGGGATTTTTAACAAGCTGTGCAGTGAGAGGAGATGCCTTGCAGTGCTAAGAGATGGATTCCTTTCTAAGAAAAGCCCAGTAGTGCTGTGAGCAGGGACCTAGCTGGAGGGACTGAGACCCCTGCATAGGTGGGTAGAGTGCAATTGCCTCTCTTCCAGAGAAAGGACAGAACTGAGAGATCTCTCCAACCTGTCACCTGGTCCTGTTAGCCCAGTACTCATGAGAAACTCCCCTCTGGAGATTATGCAGACCTTGCCCACTCTACCACTCATCCACTCCCCAGACTGAACATAAACTCAGCAAGGGCAGGGATCAGGAAGCCCTAGTACTGCCAGGTCTAGCTCTTGGTAGTGCACAAACATTTGCTTAATGACCAGGTTAGTGAATGGATGAGAAACTAGGGTTAAGAAGGACAAAAGGAGCTGGGATGGAAGAAGTCTACATAGGTGGATTTCTTCCCGGCAGGTTGGAAATCTTACCCCACCTGCACCAGGGGGAATAAAGCCATTTTAATTCCACACACACAAAAAAAAGTGTCTATAAATATAGTACCAAAGTTCTATTTTGGCTTTCTGGTCCTTTGCTCAAGATATTAGAGTAAGATATTTGGCTAGGGACAAAAGATACCGTGTATGTTCCTTGAGGCCTTACAAAATGCTTCAAACTAAATACAGCCAGGAAAAAAATATTCCAGGTAAAACCTTGAACTTAAAAATAAGAAATAAGCCAGGGCGTGGTGGCTCACGCCTAAGACTAAGGTGGATGAATCACCTGAACTCAGGAGTGGAGACCTGCCTGAGCTAGAGAGATACTCCATCTCTAAAAATAGCCAGGTATGGCGGCACCTGTAGCTCAGGGGTAGGGCGCCAGCCACATACACCGAGGCTGGCGAGTTCAAATCTGACCCGGGCCAGCTAAACAACAATGAGAAGCGCAACAACAACAAAAAAAAATAGCCAGGCAGGGTGGCACCTGTGGCTCAGTAAGACCCTGGTCCCATATACTGAGGGTGGCGAGTTCAAACCCAGTCCCAGCCAAACTGCAACAAAAAAAAAAAGCCAGGCGCTGTGGCAAGAGCCTACAGTCCCAGCTACTCAGGAGGCTGAGGCAAGAGCTGGAGCCCAAGAGCTGGAGGTTGCTGGGAGCTATGACGCCACGGCATTCTACCAAGGGTGACAAAGTGAGACTCTGTCTCTTTAAAAAAAAAAAGAAAGAAAAGAAAAATAGGCGTTTTAGCAGGCATCTGTAATCCCAGCTACTTGGCAGGCAGAGGCAAGAGAATCACTTGAGCCCAAGAGTCTGAGGTTGCTGTGCGCTATGACACTATGGTACTCTACCAAGGGTGACAAAGTGAGGCTCTCTCAAAATAAAAAAAAAAAAAGAAAGAAAGAAAAGAAAAGAAAGGGGGCAGCGCCTGTGGCTCAAAGAAGCAGGGTACCAGCCCCCTATGCTGGAGGTTGCAGGTTCAAACCCAGCCCTGGCCAAAAACTGCAAAAAAGAAAGAAACAAACAATGTCAGAGGCAATACCCAGTATTTGTGGTAGAAAAACAAATGTTAAAATAATTTGGCTCAGCTCCTTGTAGCTCAAGCAACTAAGGCACCAGTCACATACACCAGAGCTGGCGGGTTTGAATCCAGGCCTGGGCCCACCAAACAACAATGTGAACTAGAACCAAAAAATAGCTGGGCGTTGTGGCAGGCACGTGTAGTCCCAGCTACTTGGGAGGCTGAGGCAGGAGACTCTCTTAAGCCCAACAGTTTGAGATTGCTGTGCGCTGTGATGGCATAGCACTCTACCCAGGGCAACAGCTTGAGGTTCTGTCTCAAAAAAAAAAAATAATAATAATAATAATAATCTGTAAATCCCCATACTAACAATATGAACTATGAGTGATAAGCCAGGAAGGTAAATCTCACAAGAATTGCAAAAATATGGCAAGATGGCACTCAAGTACAACACGGCAGTGAAAAACTGTGTCTCATTCAGCGATGATGAAGGAGGCAGAGAGCACTGTGAGCAAGGGTGCAGGGAGAGCGCCTATCAGTGCTAGGACAACAAGGAGATCCATGGCATCACAATAACAGCACTCCTGCCCTAGGAGGCAGCCACACACTTCCTGGCAGAAAGAGGAATGCATTAAATGAATGAACACACAGAAGAGGCAGCTGGGACCCATGCTGATGACAGTAAGGACAGGAGAGTCGGGAGGCTCAGAGAACCCGAAGCAGGGTTACCAGGTAAACTCTCAACATACTTTGCTCCTAAATCAAGCTCTCCAAAGACAGAAGAGGCACCTCCTTTGCATAATTCTAACCAATAAGGAGGAACTGATTATAAGGTAGAAGTGAAAGAAACTGAGATAAACAAGCCTGTCATCTTAGGGGAATGCTATGCACCCTGTCGCAGAGGTTTCTCAACAGGGTATTACCAGCATCCAGGCAGGGCTATGCACCTAAGCATCCTGCCCTTCTCATGAGACGTATACCAGGCATTGTGACACTGCCCCACCTCGATTTCCCAATGTCCCCTGGAGCCCCAGCCAAGAACCACCAGCACTATCAGTGACCAAGATGCCACAAGCCCTGCATTACACAAGATAGCCCTGCAGACAGAACTGTTTAGCCCAAAATACCAATCATGCCTCTACTGAGAAAAACATCTCCAAGAAGATGGATTCAAATCATACAGAGAGGCTCGGCGCCTATAGCTCAACCGGCTAAGGCGCCAGCCACGTACACCTAAGGTGGCGGGTTCGAATCCCCAGCCCGGACCCGCCAAACAACA